TTTCCGTTAAAAGCATTTGCGGAAAATCATGCCAGTCTAGACACAGCCTCTGTGTTTATCAGAGGAGAGGAAGAAATGGACTACCCCACTTCACTTTAACCCACTCAATTCTTCTCTACAGGGCTATCCCATCAGTTAATATACATGTCTGAGGCTAGCACCTAGCATGCTTGCACCCTTTCTTGTCTCCAAACCCTAGTAAAGAATCCTTCATTGCTCACACAGAAAGTGAGTGTAGTGTTTGGAGCATGCCCCGTGTTGGCCACTTTGCCTGCTGGAAGGGGCCGACTGCCACAGTGACAATACAGGAGGCCTGCGCTTTGCGATGGCCTGAATTATGACCCCCCACACTTACGACCTTTTCCATAAGTGCGGAAGGGGCCGAAATCCCCCGACTTACGTCCTCGGCCCCACATTTATGATGGCATACGATGCCTGTTGTAAATGCGGACTCGAGTTACAATGCCCCCAACTTGCAACACTATCTCCGGAACCGTTTGCATCGCAGGTCGGGGGCAGCTGTACCGGGGGGAGGCCAGTGCTTCTCACAGGAATGGTTTTTGAGGAGGGAGGGATAAGAGAAAGCAAAGCAAAAACAGCTGGAAGTGACCTCTCCATGGGACAGTCCGGTGTGTGTTTCTTCTTTGCAAAAGGCTGCAGAAACTCTCCCTTACAAAAATGGCAGCCATCCCAGCACACAGCAGAAGTGCAGCACAGAGCAAACAGGAATTGCACATAGCAATTACAAAGACAAATACACCACAGGGGAGTCCCTTCCCAGGGCCTACTTGCCCCCCAAACTCCATCTGTAGAGCAGATAGACTCACAAAAGGTGCGAAAGACACAACCATTGTGTCTGCTCTGATTGTGGACCCCTCACTGCTTATCACAGATGGGCATGCACAACACAGACATTGCTGAAGTGTGCAGGGGTGATAGCAGCAGTGAGAGAAACCTCCTGCCAGACTCATGAACCCATTAGGCCCCCCAACCTCGGGGGATGGGACAAATAAATGCAGAGATATCCAGATGTCATGTTTTTATATTGGCTTTTTACCCATAAGCAAGATTTAGCTTCCTTTTTCTGTTACTGTAGCAGGTAGAGGTCATTTCTTGTCTATCTATCTCCTTATGCGATTGTACAGTCCAGAGATATGTTTAATGATATTTCCTGTTTGGAAGGATCTGTTCTGAGGTCATTTCCTGTTTAATATATATGTTTCCAAGGAATGGTGTGTTCCTCCTCTCCTAATTTTTAAGCAGTGGATTTCAGCTGTTCACACAAGGCAAGATTACATCTAGATGGGTCCATAGGCACTTCTCCACTTGGGTGTATCCCTGTACTATAGATATGGCCTACGGCCTTCTTGGAGTGTCAAGGACCATCCGTGCAAGAGTGGTTGTTGTGCTGGTGTGTGACCCACCAGCGCTCCTCTCTGAGCAAATTGAGGCCTCCCCAATCACTACACCTTGGGTGGGCAATGAGTGGTCCATGAGCCAATGAATGGTCCACGGTTCACCAGGGTTAGCTTTTATTTACCTGACCATTCACAGACATGGCCATATGCAACTATCACTGGCTAGGAATGGTGAACTATGGCCAATGGGAGCTGCAAGCAACCACACCTGCAGACGTTCAGGTAAATAAAGTGCCTGGCCACCAGGAGCTAACCCTGGTGAACCATGTCTGGCCTGCAGGCTGTTTATTGCTCACCCACACTCAACAATATCACCCCTATCTTCACACAGGCAACTGGAGATAGAAGGACTTAGCTCCCACTGGTCTGCGTATGGGGCCTCTACTGACACCACACCAGCAATCACAGTGAAGTGGCTGCTGTGAGTCCCCACAACACAGAATTCCCAGCTAGGGCATTTTTTTACAACCATAATGGCATGTACTTTAGAGAAAGCTGAGATTGTTCCCTCATCACTTGACTAGTGCCTCTGTCTATTCCAGTCCTCATTTTATATCAGTCCCTTTGGATATTTTGGATGTGGCCAGAAAGGACACACACACACACACACACACACACACACACACAATGGGTTGGTGACAAGCTATGACACTTGGTTCTAATTTTGTCACTCATGCTCCTTTTTCTTTCCTCTTGTTTTCTGTGTCTGTCTGTCTGTCTCTCTTCTATCTCTTCCACCAGTAGCAGCCGTATTATTACACTGATGTCCTGACTGTGGGCTGTGCTGTGGGGGTTGGCTGCTGCTTTGGGACACCACTTGGAGGCAAGTGGCTGTTCCTCTTCTTCTGCCTTTCCTTGGGGTGCCTCTATCCCTGACCCCCAATTCAATGACCATTCCCTTTAGCTTCAGCCTCACCCGCACTCAGTTCCTGGTATGTCCCCCCCGCCCTCTCCCCACACACACACACAGAAAGAGATCCATCCAGCCATCTTACTTTTGTAATCCTTTTAACTCTGGCTCCTTTGCAAACTCTTTTTGACCCAAACTTGAGGAGAGCAGTGGGCTGGACGTGATATTAGAAGTTCTGGAGAGATTTCCAGGTATATGTCCAGGTGATAACATCTCTGTGTCTTCTAGGGGTTCTCTTCAGCATTGAGGTCACTTCCACCTACTTTGCTGTGCGCAATTACTGGCGTGGTTTCTTTGCGGCCACATTCAGTGCCTTCATCTTTCGAGTGCTCGCCGTGTGGAACAAGGATGCAGGTAAGGCCATAACCATGAACTCCGTGTCTGGTGCCCAGGCCTCTATTATCTACTTCATCTCCAGCTTCCCCCAAAACAGAGAAAGGCAGTGGGGATGTGACGTTTTCTCCATTCTCTTCCTTGCATATATGACAGACAGAAGGAAGGAAGGGGGAGAATGGCAAGCCCATTTCACAGACTAGCTAATCCCTCATTCCTCCCAGTCCTAGGTGTATCTGGGGTTTCCCAAAAAAATCACCATTAGGATACATGAGTCCCCGAGAACTGGGAGGATTCCTGAAGTGAGAATTCACCAGTACTCAGTATACAGTAGGGCTGCATACACAGAGACAAGCCTGCCCAGAGCAAGCAGATGACAGTATTTGCAGCTGCACACTAGGAATGCTGTGCTCTGGTTGCATACTTGTCAAGCAGAAAGGTAACAAATTGGAGGGAATTCAGACAAGTGCAATAACCAACTGCTTAGGAGCTGGCAGGACTGGTTTCATGGGTGGCTGGTATGCTGTGGAAAGCCTCCAGGCATGGCCCCAACCACACTCTGCCCCAGAACACCTGCTGTAGGCATTCTGGGGGCAGCGTGTTGTTGCAACATAGCCCCAGGGAGGCTTGGGTGCATGCGCTCCTCCCTCCCCAGGGCTTTGGGGCCAGAGAGGCTCAAGCTGCACACCCCCCTCCCTTCCCATGCTCCAGGGAAGGTGGGCGGCACACGGTCCGCCCTCTCCGTGATGTGGGCATGGCCTGGGCAGACGGGGTGGAGCTGAGGGGCAGGGTGGAGAGCTTGCCTCCCCCAGCCCAAACCAGCTGCCCATGACTGATTTATGAACAAAGATTAAAAGAGCAAACTAATAATGATGAAAAAGGACAAAATAACTCTACAGGTAGCAGAAGAGGGTAAATACATTTCTCATGCAGACATATAAACACCACAGAGGTGGAGGCTTGTTCAGGATGATGTGTTACCCACAAGAAATTCTCTGTCACTTCCACACTCTAGGGGTGCACACCTTTACTCAGTTCCTAGGGCTCAAGATGTAACCCTATTGATTTAAATACCCACCCTTACCCAATTCCTAGCAAAAACTTAAAAAACGACAAATAGTCTGGTAGAACTTTAAAGATTAACAAAATGTGGGAACAGCCCCCTTCTTCAGATGCCCACAAAAGCTCATGATACCATCTACATGTTTTGTTAGTCTTTAAAGTGCTACTAGACTATTTGTTGTTTTTTAAGTTTTTCCTGTGAGGCTATGTCTTCACTGCAGGCTTTTGCTGATAGAGAGTATGCTAATGAAGTACTCATTTTTTCAGGCATAAGGATCTTACACAAAAGGGGTATTTTTTGCACAAAATGGACTTGTCTACACTGCTTGTTTTTGCGCAAAAACCTCTTGTGCAAAAAGCATTGGCAGAGAATATGCAAATGAGAGCATGACAAATGCTAATGAGCGCTTCATTAGCATACTGTCTGCTGGCAAAAGCCTGCCGTGTAACTCGGCTACCCCTCTGAAACCAATTTCTAGGGTTCAAGGTTTAACTTGCTACAGGTTTGCAGGACCTTTTACCAGTGAAAGAGCCTTACACAGTAATACCCTTACTCTATTTATTAACAATGACCAAGCAAGCAGAATACACATGCTAAGCAGACAGTGCCATGCTCACCACTCCAAATCAGGGCAAGGTCAGTCTTGTCTGGATTTCAGTTGCTGCATGTCACAGTGTTGCAGAGAATTCTTGGCAGCTCTGATCTTAGGCTGTGTCTTGGAGGTGAGTTCTTCCAGGTCTTTTCTTCTTACTGTTCTTTCTTTTCCTTTCTTGCTGGTCTCCTTCTTGGGCCTCAGTTTATATAGTGAAACTTTAGTCCCATTTAGCTAGACCTTAACCAATTATTTTACTAAAACTTTACTAACTAACCCAATAATATTGTAATGTAATTCCCTTATCAATTATATCCCACCATCTTAATTGATTTACATCTATCAAAATTAATTATACAGCAGATAAAAATAGTTAAAAACCAGACAGAGATCATACAAACAAACAATAGGAAAGTGAGGGCTATAGTAATAAAATGAGGATTTCACAACCCGTACTATTGATAAGTGATTTCTTGCCAGACAAAATGCTGTCAAACTAATTTTAACCATCTTGACATCTGTTTCTTTATCTGGTGATATTAGGTGCTTTTAGGGCAGGGTCTCCTTAACAGCCTGGTAAAACACTACAGGCAGTCCCCGGGTTACGTACAAGATAGGGACTGTAGGTTTGTTCTTAAGTTGAATCTGTATGTAAGTCGGAACTGGCATCAGCCGCTGCTGAAACTGATCAGTAAACTAATTTTAACCATCTTGACATCTGTTTCTTTATCTGGTGATATTAGGTGCTTTTAGGGCAGGGTCTCCTTAACAGCCTGGTAAAACACTACAGGCAGTCCCCGGGTTACGTACAAGATAGGGACTGTAGGTTTGTTCTTAAGTTGAATCTGTATGTAAGTCGGAACTGGCATCAGCCGCTGCTGAAACTGATCAGT